CCCGCCCCAAAGCACTTTCGATCCATCCTAAACTTTTATCTGAAAAAAGACATATTACTGAGTGGGTACCAAAGAAGTGCTCTAAACGCTGAGGAGCATAGCTCCATCTATTATTACTCTTGCCTTTATCCTTATCTGTTGGCTTATAGTCTTGTTCCCCTTCATCGCCTTCAGTAACCGATTCCCCTTCATTACCATATTCAATGGAAGTTAATTCGTCATCTTCGTCATCATCGTTCTCTTCTTCTTCTTCACGTTCTACCGTTTCTTCCTTCTTCTCGTTTATTCGTTTGTCATTAGACTTTTTTGAGCTCAGATGGCTTATTGGTTCAAGCTTTTCTGCGAGATTTAAGATAACATTTTCAAGTTTTGACAATCTCGTATTAAGAACCTCTATCGTCTTTGTATTGGCCTCACTCCTAGAGATCCTTGGGGATTTTGTTCTTCTTTCTTGTCTTTCTTTATAATTACATACAGATCCATTTGACTGTTGACAATTTGCACATGGATACTGCCCATCACATTTAATCTTTTTGCGACGGCAATTATCACAGGCAACCCGTATCCTTTTCTTGGACTTTTCACCGTTGGAAATATTAGAATCCATGGTGCCTGACCTTTGGGGTTTTCAATGAAGAAGAAAATTGAATAAATTAAGCAATGGGGTCTAATGCGCAGTCGAAATATTAATAATCAATTTTTCTCGGTATCCATATTACGACGTATTTATTCTTCTGATTTATACAATACAGTATAATATTTAGCTGAAGTCATGATTTAATTGAGCTCTTGAACCCATGATATGTAATCTATATACCGAGATATAGTTCGCGAGACTATGCGAAGTTAAAAAAATAAGACAAAAAGTGATATTATGGCCAGCCATAACATGATTCACTGTGATTTAAAATATTATCTAATGACGACCTTTCATTATTTAAAGTCTGAAGGTAATTTGGTTTAGATGGGGGTGATTTTAAGTTGGCTGCAAAATTGCAGCTTGGCATCGCAGAATAATCGTGGAACGAATAAAGTAATGGGTCAAATAATCGTACAAGTTTGTATATAGCCTTGTTCTCGTCTAAATTATGCTCTGACTTTTTATTAAAAATCTCTGGATAAATCGATTTACACTGCTCGAAATGATCAGCTAACCCATCAGTTTCAGCAACATAATTGCGACCACTCTCAAAACTTACCACATTGATCACCAACCTTAAAAGAACTCTAACAACAAAATCTGCCACAGTCGTTTTCTGATCGTATTTTCTTCTATTTGCCCATCTTTCTGCCAGAGAATTAGACCTGCGGGCAAAGAAGATTCGGGATACTTTTATTAATATAAGGCAATCATTATGAGATTCTGAATCAGTAGGGAAATTGAGACAATGGATAGTCAAACATGAGAATGCTAGAAATGCATGAAACATTAGACCATTTAAAAAGGAAGACGAAGCATTTTTATCCACAGTTAAAATTAAGTTTAATGCAGATCTTGCAGCATCTAGTCCTAAATTACCAAGCGAAAATCCCACATGATCATTTTCATACGAATCAATCAAAAAAGGAATTCGATTTATAGAAATTAAATGTGAAAAGAATAATAGGTGAAGGTATAAGGTATTTTCTCTGCAAAAGCTACTTTCACTGTCGTATAGCGGCTTAAGGTTTTCATTTTTGTTTGTAGCTTTTTTTTGACCAGAATGTAATGTTGGTCGCATTTCAGGTTCTATCATCTCAGCCATCTGGAACATATCATCATTAATAGATTGAATAGTCTGGAAAACCTTGTCCTTGCTACATAATAATTCCGTTTGGGCCTTAACACTAAACAATAACTCGTAGCTTCTCAACCTAATACGACTCAACATTAGGAAGAAATAACCGTAGTAAGCCTGGATGCCTTTTGTCTGGCACTCGATATTTAAACGGTTTCCCAGGGTATTTATTTCTTTACTAGTGGGGAATGGATCAATTGGCACAGAAAAAACATCTGAGTCATTCTCCGTCAACGTGGAAACACTAAAACTATTTATCAACGGTGGCTTGCCATACTTAAAGCTGAATTCTATATCAGTATGGTGACAATAGCGCCAAAGTCTTCTGCGCAACTCTACTTCATCTTCAGGGAGATGTTGAAAGCTTTCAAAACGATGCAATCCCATTTCTTGAGCATATCTTATAGCCACCGAAGATAATGTGTAATTGATTGGGAAATCAGAAATATGACTTAATTCAATGTAAAGCACCAATAAAAATATCGCTTGAATAGATGATATTCCCTCACTTATCACCAGGATTTTCTCATAAAAAAATATGGCATTGCTAAAGAGCATCTCTTTAAGGTCAAACACATGTTGTTCAGAATATGATTCCGCTCCTGTATCTTTAATTGGTGTATCATTTCTATGCTGAAAATCAATAAGACATAATGCTAGGGAAACATTCATAATCAATAGTTCAGAATATCCAAGCTTATCGCATCCCCCCTGGCTTTGATTATAATATCTCACAAATATATCACGGACATAGGACAAATCACATATATATTCTGCGAAATGAATGCTTTCATAATATGTGTCCAAGAGCTGGAAAACTACCGGGCTGTCGGGAATAGGAGTGTGACATATCATCTGGTCTTTGTTAACATTAAGCCACTTCTCCGTCAACGAATCCAACACATCACCAAAAACCAATGGCATGTTTCTGATGAGTGTAATCAACTCCTCGTCCTTATTTCCCGGTGCCAGTTCCATCCACTGAATACTAGCCTTGGAAAAGATGCAAAAAATTGAGTATGATTTAAAGCACAGTGCGAGGGAGCATTTCGCAGCTTCTGTCTGCGAACTCCGTCTTGTCTCATTCTCAATCCCCCCAGAACTATGCTCCGACGATAAACTCTGATTTTCTTCAGCCATGAGCCCATTTAATTCTCCCAGTCTCATATTCACCTTCTCGTTATTTGTCTTCCCCTCCAGTCTCGCCTCTTCGAATCTGCTAGCGATTTTTGCCAACACCGACTCTATACTAGAAATCCGATTGTTCAATAATTGCACTGTCTTTGCATTGGAAATACACCTCTTAGGTGTTTTCTTTTCCTCTATCCGTCTAGCGTACGTACAGTTTTCTCTTCCCCCATTAACACAATTTGAGCATGGTTTTGCTCCGTTACATTTAATTTTTCGTCTTCTACAAAACTCGCATGCAACTTTAGTTCTTCCTTTCAGAATCTCATTTATTTGACGACGTTCTTCCTTCCTGTATTTGTCTGAACTGATGTCCATATCTCTATAGATCAAACTAATAAATTATCCGATTATTACAACAATTCAATAATTCAATAAATCAATAATTCAATAATTCAATAATTGGAAATTCCTTTCTCGATAAAGTCCTATATTTATTTATGTCGGGAACTATTCATATCCGGCTTCCGATTGATTCTCAATTATTTTAACGCGAGGTTTGAGCTTGTCCACGTGTAAAGTCATGTGAAAACGGTTCCAAAATTGGTCGTGCATTATGTTCAAAACTTCCATTTGAAAATTATTCACATAGTTAAGTCAACACCATGTTCAGAGGATCAAATCAATTTAAAGCAAGAAAGTGAAGTAGAGGATATGGTTGTTAAACGTGGACCTATACTTGCTAACAAGGAAGACGCTAATTTTAATGAAGCTTTGAAGCTATATGAAGGCAAGCAATATAAAAAAGCGTTGAAGCTCGTAGAACAAACGTTGAAGAAAAACTCGAATCATGCGGAGTCGTTAGGTTTGAAAGGATGTATTTATCACTTCAATGGTAACAAGACGGAGGCAGAATCGTATATTTTGAAGGCTGTTAACAAGGAACCGGAGAACTATCTTGTTGATCATCTTGCAGGTATTTACTACAGGGCAGTTGATAAGCATAAGGAAGCCGCAAAGTGGTTCAAAGCAGCCATTGATAACGGTTCGCCAAACAAACAGATATTGAGAGATTTATCGGTGATGCAGGTGCAGATCAGGGACTTTAAGAACTTGAAGGAATCGAGACAAGCGTATTTGGAAAACCAACCGGGATATAGGGCCAATTGGACAGGGGTAGCAGTTGCTCTCCACTTGAACAAAAACTACACCGGTGCGGTATCTACATTATCTAAGATCGAGGGCATCATCAAGGAACACTTGCAGGAATCAGACATGTACGAACACTCGGAATGTGTGTTGTACAAGAACTCGATCATTAGCGAATCGGGCCACTTTGACAAGGCATTGGAAGCATTGGATAAAGATGAAAGTGAAATCAAGGATAAACTCTCTTTTATGGAATATCGTGCAAAGTACTTAGTTCTCTTGGGCAGAAAGAAAGAAGCTTCGCTCATATATCGTCAATTATTGCAACGCAACCCCGACAACGTTGAATACTACACCTTATTAGAAACTGCCTTAGAAACAAGTAATCAATCGCCAGATATTAGATTGAAGTTATACGAAAAGCTTTCCAAATTTTATCCGCGTTCGGATCCACCTAAATTCCTCCCATTAACGTTTTTGCCTGCCTCGCATCCTAGCTTTGTAGTAAAAGCAAAGGAATACGTATTGACTCAGTTGAAAAGAGGTGTTCCAGCTACTTTCGTTAATGTTAAGCCCTTGTACAAGAACAAAGAAAAATTAGCCGTGATTCAAGAATTTGTTCTCGATTTTTTCCAAAATGAGGCACCTAAATTGATTCCAACTGTCACAGTTTGGACCATGTACTTTTTAGCACAGCATTATTTGTATTTAAATGATTTAACAGAAGCTGAAAAGTACATTGACCAAGCTTTAGTTCATTCTCCAACATTAGTGGAATTATACATTATTAAGGGACGTGTATTAAAGCACTTAGGAAGGTATGAAGAGGCTAGTGACGTAATGGAGGAAGGACGTAAGTTGGATTTGCAAGATCGTTTTATCAACTCAAAAGCCACCAAGTATTTATTAAGAGCAAATAAGGTTGATGAAGCTATTAGCTGTATCTCATTATTCACCAAGCTTGATGAAGATGCTGTTAATGGTTGCAAGGACTTACATCTAATGCAAGTGAACTGGGTTTTAACTGAAAGTGCAGAAGCTTATTCTCGATTATATCATCAATACGAAGCGCAATTAGCCAAACTCGACAAATCAAATCCTGACGAAGAAACGTTAGCTGCTGAATCAGAACTTATTGAAAAGATTGAATTATATAAAGGCTTAGCTTTAAAGAGATTCCATGCCGTAATCAAGATTTTTAAGATCTTTTACGAAGATCAATTTGACTTCCATTCATACTGCTTAAGACGTGGTACTCCTAGAGATTATATTGAAACATTAAAATGGGAGGATAGCATTCATTCTACTCCAATATATTCTAGAGTTCTCAAAGGTTTGTCACAGATTTACTTCGAATTGTACAAACAACAACAAGACCAAAAGCTTCAAAACGGTCAAGATGATAATGAGGATATTAAACTTAAAAAGAATAACAAGAAGCAAAAGAAAGCTAAGGCTCAGAATATGAAGAAAAAGGAAGGCCTCGTTTCAAGGGTTGAATCTGAAAAAAATGATAAAGATCCTTTAGGAGCTCAATTGTTGAATAATTTACTAACTGATGGCAATGGCAAGCTTTTAGATAAC